TGACAAAACTAATTATGGATGCCGGCTTTGTGAAAGCAGAAAGCACAAATCTGCCAAGAATTGACGCATTGATGGTTGGTGAATTTTTTGCACTTAACCCCCATTTTTCCTCTGCGGAGCAGAGAAACGACAAGGCATCTATGTAAGTACAGTGCATTTAGTATTACAATGTAGTAATAAACATAAAACTGATACAACATATGAATAAGTGTAATAAAGTTGCGTAGGTTAATTTCTTTCGGCACTTTAATCCATAACATTCCTGGAGTCTTCAAGGATGTGTTTTTATATTCTCGTACAATACAATAATGATAATTACTTTATTTTTCGTGGTATTTATTAGAAATCGTGTTCTTTTTATCATAAACTCAGATAAGTTATTTTCTACGTGCTTACGAGTTTTTGTTAACTATAATTGACATCATAGCATAGACAATCTATAGACTAAAATGGCCGACAGCGTTTTTGTATGTCCATGAAAATTCTATTTTAAAATTAAAGATTTGTAGCTTTCTAGGTCTCAAAAAAATACAATACATTTTTTTTCGGTCTAATAGAACATTTATTCACCATTTAAAACCTTTTTCCAAAAAGGGTCAACTAGCCTATTATTTGCATGCAATTAAAAACTAATTTTAAACGATGCCAAAGAAGGATAACTTCTCACGCGCCTACATAAGTACACGCACCCATTTTTTTACATACCTTTGTCTAAACAGTTGTATTCTCGAAATATTAAACATTCATATTTGGGTACGAGACCCAATACAATCCCTTAGACAGGTATTTATAAACAGCACCTATTTGTTTCTTAGATTTTCACGCACATCACTCATTAAAAAAATTCAGTGCATCAAAACCGTTGAAACTTGTTTTATTCAGCACCTATTTATTTATAAGTCAAGTAAGTAGGTAAATAAGTAAGTTAAAAGAGGCTGATAGGTACTACATACATACCTACCTACAGTGCGACCAAGATCTTTATGAATTTATTCAGGAAGGACGCCACTGTCTACATAAATGACCGTAAATGGCATACAAAGAAGATGACTTAAGTTCTAATTTTCGCCACATTCATAAAGATCTTATAAAACAAAACTAATCATGAAAAGGCGCCACCTAGCAAAAATATGAAGTACCAAAGTAAGCTTAATCCCTCAAGGCAGGCCTCGCACGTCACCTATCGTTGCACACAAGTACCAGTTCATAGTGTGCTTTTATTAAAAGCATACGAGCTTTGGTAGTTACTTGTTCTTAGACTATGTAACAGATGGCGCACATCTTGCAAATATTAATAAAAACGATAAGAAAAGAAAAACAAGTTCTCTGTAATATTACTGCCCCGTTTTAAAGTAGTTACTCGTAAGACTATCTCATCTTTCAGTTCAGTTTCTGTTAGTTTATAAAACTAAGTTTGCATGGAACTTTTACCAAGGATCCATTTGAAAAATTCTAAATTATAGAATTATAAAAATAAAATTGCAGCGCGGTCGTAACTCAAGTCAAAAGCATCCAGTCTTAGGCGTCTCTTCATATTCAAACATGTTTGGAAATGTGAGCATTATTTTGACAAACTTCTTTGTGACAAATCGAAATTGCTGTAGGTACTGGCTGGCAAAAGTTGTATGAAAATCCAGGTTTAGCCGCCAAAGGCTGGAAGGCTGCTGGGTGCGGAGACGCGGAAGAGTCCCTAAACGGGGATCCCGCGGTTTCGCACTAAGCTTAGAGGGTATTCGCAGGGTTTTTTAGCGTATATTATGCCGTAAAGCGCCCGTAAGAGTTACGGGGTCCTCAGTGGGCAGCCACTGTGGGGGCTCGTAATGTTTGCGGGAGCCAGGTGTGAGGTCCGTTCGGCGGTGTGCCTCTTAAAGGTGCCGTCGTCTGTAAACAGAGTTTTTGCCTGCGTCACAAAAAAAAAAGGTCTAGCCGCCAAAGAGTAACCTTAATATGAAGTTAAACCACATGAGTTGTGGTGGTGTGGACACGTACAAAGATAAAGCTTCTATAGATCCGGCGATTTTTTTTCTTTTTTTGTTGACTTAATTAAAATAGGTAAATAAAACGGTTCAAATATATTTTGTTTAAGTATTAAGCATGTCAATAATTATAATTATCTTTATTTCTAAACCAGGACATGTATCACTTTACCATCAGCCTATTAATATCCCCACTGCTGGGGACAGGCCTTCCCTATGGATGAAATAGGGAGTTTTGGGCCATGACCCACAACGCGGGCCCAGTGTGGATTGGTGGGTGCTAATGACCGCAGATGCAGGCGGGATCAAAATAAACACTTGACTAAGGAATAATTCGTAGAGCATAAAGCTGAAAATTGGCAGAGACGTTAAATACATCATTATAAATAAAATGTCAAAAATCCCCTTCGTTCCTACTTCTGCAAAAAAAAAATTCAAGGTCAAATGTACAAAATTGCTTTTTTTTTAATTTTTCTCAAAAACGGTAAATTTTATCGTGAAAATAGGTCAGACAAAAATTGTAGACCATACAATTCTCTAGAAAAATGGTCCTGTCACTTTTTCTCTCACGAATCACCATTGGTGAGATATCGCGGTTTTAATAATTAGAAAATTCATTTTTTACATAATATGCACACATATTTGCACCACCTATGAGGTAGTATACTTGGCGGATTTTTTTCAACGTGGTTTCCCCAGCTGGTACCTATACTCCAAAATAAAATTGTGATAAAGAAAGTTTGATCAGATCGTATCCTTTTGATTGAAAGAATGGTTATATTACTAACAACCAAAGTGGAATAGGTTGTTTTCTTATAAATGTTATTAAGTATATTAGATAATTGTCTAATTCAATTATCAATATAAATAATTATCAATATAAATTACGAAATAATTATCTTCTCCGACAATTATTTCTGCGTCTTCATTTTCTTCTTCTTGTAGAATTTCTACTCGCTGTTCTAAGAAAAGGGATGCATCAATTGTCTTTTTTAATATTTTCATCTGTTGTATTTTTTTTAATATTGGAGCAAATCTGACCCTGACTATTGATACACACAGGCGAACAAAATAATCCCACTTTATGACAGTAACAATTCTTTCTACAATCAGTCTTGCATTTACAAAAAATAGGATTAAGCAGTTTTTCTGCAGCAGGCAGGAGTAGAGTTTGAATTGGCTCCAAATAATTATCTGTTAATTTCTAACCCCATCCTTCTGGGTCCAGCTCATTGCCTAGCCACACTTGAACTTGATAATATACACGATACAAGTGTTGAAAGGCAGAAGCAGATGTTGGAGGCAGACAATAACACTGTACTGTTTTATTGTCCCATGCAGATTTATATCCCATAGTAGGCCTCAGAAAGATATTATAACAGTTATTATGGTACTTAGCTTCAGCAGCAACTAAGTCATACTCATTATGTAAAATATGAATTTTATAATTATTAAAACAGCAATATCTCACGAATGGTGAGTCGTGAGAGAAAAAGTGACTCGACCGTTTTTGTAGAGAATTGTACGATCTATAACTTTTGCGTGGCCTATTTTCACGATAAAACTTACCGATTTCGAGAATAATGGAAAAAACCTTAATTTTGTACCTTAATCTTATTGACCCTGAATATTTTTTTTGCAGAATTAGGAATAAGGGGAGTTTTGACATTTTGTTTATAATGATGTATTTAACGTCTCTGTAAATTTTTAGCTCTATGCGAATTATTCCTAAGTTATGGTTTATTTTTATAAGGATACTAGCTGACCCAGCGAACTTCGTACCGCCCTAAAAAAATAGGGGTTGTACAGCGGACAAAATTGTAAATCTAAATCTAAATGAACGCACACAAAAAATTTCATCAAAATCGGTCCAGTCGTTTAAGAGAAGTTCAGTGACATACACACTCACAGAAGAATTATATATATAAAGATATATATTCGATATAGTCCAGTTAAAGACCCATAACTGTTCAAGCTTTTTAAATCAGATGACAATGCAATATTTTTATAATAGTAGCCGATCTGTACTCCTAGCACGAAACAATATCGAATTCGAATAGTTTGCGAGTCTGAAATGTCATTGTCCAATTTTGTATGGAAACTTGAACAGCCACAACGGACGTAACGAGAACTACAAAGCAATACCCATTTGACAATGACATTTCGCACTCGCAAACTATTTGAATTCGATATAGTCCAGTCAAAATTCTATTTTGACTGCACTATATCGAATTCGAATAGTTTGCGAGAGGAAATGGGTCTTTAAGTCGCAAGATCTGATTACCGAGAGGCATTTATATAAGAGCTCAGTTGTTTTGGGTTGGTAAAAGAATTAAGTTTCCCACAGACAGAGACAAGGGCGGAGATCTCCCCAAGTGTAAATGTTCTATTCATGATTTACTAACAAATAAATTGAAATATATTATTAATATAACTTCATTTCAAACCTGTACCTGTAGGCCTCTCATGACTCAGTTCATTTAGCATTTGGTATCGTACAGAAGTATCACCACCGTGGTAGTGCTGTTTTCAAGGAGAAGTTTCTCAATTTTGGAATATGACTAAGATTTATGTACGAATTACGTGATTCCTTTTTTGTTCGATGCAGAATAGTTGCCATTTGGTCTCGTGAAAATTTAATTCAGTTTTGGCAAATAACCGAATCAACACCTGATTGTATCGTATGTACGTGTGTTGAATGTGCTATGCCACTGCCCCGGATCCTGCAATTTGCAAATAGATTTAGAGTCGCCAAATCGGATGACAACTTTAGAAAGATTCGATTTTTCTGCCGTGTCTTGAAACTGAATGCATGTGTGAAATCATGTTTGTAAATACTGTAGGCACTAAACCGAATCCTACAAAAAAAAAGCTATAACGATATCTTACTATTCAAATCATTTTGTTTAATTTTAGTTGCTGTATAATAAATATAAAATACAGTGTAGTAATCGCACCTATCTTAATTATGTAATAAGTAATCGTAATAATAATAATAATAGTTACAAATAAATAGCCAAATAGGTCTTAAACATTATTTATTTATTTTACTGACTGACTGTGAGATATTTTATTAAATAATAGGTACTATGAGTAAAATTATTACCGACTAAATAAGCCTAGTTACAAAAGTAGTCCCAAATTAAATACTATTGTTACAACGAAAAGTATACAGATCTCATCTCTGTGCGCATTATTACTTTTAAATTTAGGTGGATCTTCCATTTCTTCTTCTATGTTTCTATGTGATTTTAATCTATCTGGTTTGGCTTCATCGGAAGCCATATTTTCATACTGTTTATTTTCTATAGGCTTAGCTGATACAGTAGCAAGGCGTGTTGTTGTATATACAGTGTCTTTTTTATCACTTTTATTATCGTATTTCCCATCCTGTAGTAATAATTCCTTATTGTCACTATGAATTTTATTATTATTATCATCATGCTTGAATTTTCCGCTTATCTTGGAATGTCCTGTAGCGGTTGCAGCCTTTGATAAGTCTAAAGTACCTTTGTTGTCAATTTCATTGAGAATGTGTTTCATAGTAATAGGTTTTATAGTTGTAGAAATAACACCTGAAGTAGGACTAGTAGATATTTTGATGTTTAAATCTTTAATCGTTGCAACATGTGCAGGTAACGTTGTTGGTGCTAAACTTATTTCAGTTACACTCGGTGTAGTTTTTTCTTCACCAGAGCAGTTTAATATGAACCTCATATCAAAATAGAATAGAGTTCCATTTAGTTCAGTATCATCGTAATATTCATAGGCAGCACTTTCTCCTTGTGGTTCGACATCTTCAAAGACTTGGCCAGAATTTTTCACGCTCTCTTGTGCTTTATCCCATTTACGTTTGATATCCTCACTTGGATAACACTGAAGATTTTGAAGATCTATACTTAAACGCACATTCTGTGTTTTATTTAAAAGAGGCTTGAAAACATCGATTTGGCAGTTACAATCCAATCTATTCCCTGAAAAAGAAAACATATTAACATTATAAATTCACATATAGTAATGTATAACATTCACTTCTATAAAAATCAAGAATTCGAAATGAATGAGATTTTTTTCAGAAAGGCCTAAAATTACTTTATCATAATATTGTAAAATAACTTCTTATATCAACAAAGAAAGAAATAAATTACCTTCTATATTCAATAAGGAAGTTTTTCCATAAAAATTGCTAAGTATTGGTAAAATTACTTCTGGTTTTATAGCTTTCACTTCATTATTCTTTAAACTCAAGGATGTAAGACTCTGTAATCCCTCAAAAACTTTTTCATTTGCAAGAGTCGATAACTTGTTATTTTCTAAAGACAACACCTGTAACCTTGACAGTCCGTTAAATGCTTTTTCATCCAACATTTGAATTTTATTGTCACCTAAATTCAAAAATCTCAGGTTAACGAGAGGCGCAAATGTATTATCTCCAACTACTTCTAGATTATTACCACTTAGTTCTAGTTTTTGTAAATTTCTCAAACCAGAAAAAGTTTCACTATTTAAACTGAATATTTTATTCTTATCTATTTCAAGTTCTTTAAGATTTGTTAAATGCACAAATGCCTTGTCGTGAATAGTGGTTATTTTATTAGCTGTCAAGAATAATTGTTCCAAAGATGGCAAATCAACAAATACGTTGCGGTTTATTTCTGCAATATTGTTTTGATCCAAGCTGATAGTTTTAAGCCTTACGTGGTGAGCAAATGAGTTTGCTACCATCATTTTGATTTGATTGTCTCTTAAAGTGAGCTCTTCAACCAAGCTTAGGTTAGCAAAAGCATATTGGTGTATGTTTTCTATATTGCAGTACTTTACATCCAACCTCAGTATTGCTTTAGTATATATAAGGGCATTAGTTGGTATGTAGTTCATAGCTATTCCTCGAGTATTTGTTAGTGTTAGCCTGCTGACGTTTTGCAATATTTTGAACTTCTCCCAGCCAGGATCGTTTAAGGTTAGATTGTTTGCTGTCTGATAACATTCGGCAGTGCCTATTTGGTCCGGATGATGAGATAAACGGCCGCAGTAACATTGGACCTTATTTGTGTTATTATGCACTGGATCGCATATAGAAGTGAGAATTTCACGCTTGTGCCGATAGTCCCATTTTGATTCTGCATAGACGGAAACTGCCCACATGAAAGCGATAATTTTCCATAAAGCCATTATGTACGGCTGGCCAGGCGGTCAATCTGAAAAGAAACAACATAAATTAATAAGTATTTTACTATCCTTGCACGCGATATTTATTTTATTTCATAAAAAAATCTGTAGCACCAAAGTTCTTAATTTTAAATCTAATTATTGACAAATATAGATTTATGTCTAGAACATGATTAAATCTTAATTTGTATTAAAAACTTTGGTGCATGTGAACCTTTAGTATCAGTAGCGAATTATGTTCCGTTTGGAATTCAAATTTTTATTTGAAGATAGTAAATATATAGACTGAATATCACAATGTTGGAGCGTGTAAGTAATCAGTCAGATGCAAGTTTCAAAAGTTTTCTATAAAGATATTAATTAGTTCTAAAGGAAGTTACAATAGAACAAGTTAGAACTCGTGGCGCTGTCTTGAAGCCTTAAGATATGCCAGAAGAACTTCGCCACCTGCAAGCCGTTACACCCTAAGCGGTCTCATAAGACTGCGCTCAACATTGCACATTATTGGACATGTTGGGTCGCCTTCTCCACTTTATGGGCTACTTCGCTTAGAAGTGGCTCTGATTTGCAGCCTAGGAGATACTGGAGGAGGAATAAGGTCTCGGTGGTATCGTGGTTAGTGCATTCGTTCGGATAACTAGCAAGAAAGTATTAACGAAATAGAGGGGGCGAAAGGCACTGGTTCAAATCCAGCTTGACATCCGGAGATGTATTTGCTGTTAGTTAATTTTGTATTCTTTTATATTACCAATGTTATCAATAGAAATTATTATATAATTAATAGCTTGGTGTTAATCAAAGGTGTGATTATCTATCATTAAGGAAAGTAAACACGAGCACAAGAGCATTCCTAAAGGACTTTAATATTCCTTAAACCAAGTTGGGAACTGTAACACAACACTTAATAAGCCACAAGTCTATGTAAGTAACACTTAGAAAATAACACCTTAAGCTTCTGTCATATCAGGGTTAACAATATTATTAAGAGAAAACTCTTGGAATTATGATCACACTCTGTTTTCTCTTCTAATTAAAAAGCATATTTTTTATATATTTGCATAATCATGCAAGTCCCGAAATAAATACGTATATTCTGAAACAGTTAGCTTATTGCCAACATTTAAACATACAATGTAATAATAAAAAAAAAGCCATTATAACACCCGTTTGGATCTTATAACGTTGTACTAATTTCATAATAACACTCGTTTGCTCTTTAAATCTCTTCCGCGCCAAGGTTTACTCATCAGACAGCCACAATATCATTGCTCGATGCGTGGTATTATGAATTTCTAAAAGGAACTTTGTATTCACGCGCGTTTCACTACCACAGCGCCGAAACTTTTACGAACGCCCCATGCCTTCAGGATCTTCTACAGAGGATTCACATTATGTAAATTTTCAACTTATGTCTAAAGCCTCGATGGCACGAGGCGAGCTTACAAGCTCCAAGCCAGCGAGTTCGCTTGTAGCTCGTAAACTTGTCATCACCACCGTGTCATCGGCTCTCGACTCGATGCCCCGTATCATCGAGGATTAGGCATAAGTTGACAGTTCACAAAATTTGCATCAATCAGCCTCGATGGCACGGGGCGAGCTTACAAGCTACAGGCCAGCTAGTTCGCTAGCAGCTTGTAAACTTGCCCCATGTCATCGGCTTTTTTACAATCTGCTACTCGATGTCATCGACTCGATGCCCCGTGTCATCGAGGATTAGGCATAAGTTGACAGTTCACAAAATTTGCATCAGCCCTATACTCCACGTTCCCCCGTCGCACCTTAAACCTCTATTAATGCTGCAAAATCGTATATTGCACAATGCTACGGGCTGCACATGGTACGTGCGCAATGTCGATTTCATCGTGACCTTAAGTCAGATTCCATCGCGAAATACATGAAGGCCGCCTCAAGATGTTATTTCGATGAAACCGCGCACCACCCATACTCCCTTGTAGTTAAAGCCTCTAGTTATCACACGTCTGCACTCTCGTCCTCCACTCGTAGATCCCTCCGATTCCATCAGCTTAATCACGTTTTAGAATACGCCGACGACGAAATTACCCGCACCAACGTGTCTCTGACTCCTCCCACACGCGCCACAAACACCAACACTACACAGCTAGCAAACATTGACACCTGAGACCTGAGACACAGGATCTATCCTAGCTATCCATCAGCTGTCAACCCACTATAGTCTGATTAATGTGTTTTTTGGTACAAAAAATAAGGAATTTTTATTTTTGTTTTTATGTAGCCATTATTATCTTATTAAAACCTAACTTGTGAACATTGTGATTATGGTGAGAAATAAAGTTATTATTATTAGTATTAGGCAGACACCGCACCCGTAGGTTAGGAGTGCGAAGATGCGGTCTACACACGACGCGCTATACCAGGTACAGATAGAAACCCCCAGTTAGAGCGTTTTCCCCGTCCCTCACGACAGCGGCTACATAGAGCTTAGCTTACGTCAGGTTCGAGTGGTTTAGAGGCTCCAGACGGAGAGGAGACTCCCCCGAGGAGAGATGACATCCCCTTTGAATACCTCTAGAGGCACTCGCCAATTTTCGGCTTGCGGTCCCCTTAGGATCACGCCATCTCCAAACCCAGTGACGCTGTAAAGGTCATTTGCGACCAACAGCATCAGCAGCAATACCTAAAAATAACCCCGTTGTACCGAATGCAACATTAAGTAGCATTATATTAAGGATGCAAAAGAAAACAATCACTTTTACTTGCACCATTAATGGTGCAAGGTCAATGGTGTATTCGATACAACATAATCGGAAAGTAACCATTTATTTTTGACGATCTCTGTGGCCGAGTGGTTTATACGCCGTGTTGAAACACCATGAATGATGAAGCCGACTCGAGACGTCCGGAGATCGAATCCCAGTGTGGGCAGATGTTTGTGTTATGAATACGAGCATTTGTACTCCAGTCATGGATGTTTCATATGTATCTCTATATAAATATACTGATATATGTACAGTATATGTATTCTACCCGTTACCCTAGTATCCCATAACACAAGTCTTATAGTGCTTACTTTGGGGCTAGGCTAATTGGTGTGATTGGTGTCTTATAAATAAAATTCTAGTGTCGCGGTGTTTGTGGTTAAACTCCTCCGAAACGGCTTCCCGATCCTCATGAAATTTTGTGTGCATATTGGGTAGGTCTGAGAATCGGACAACATCTATTTTTCATCCCCCTAACTGATAAGGGTAATCCACCCCATTTTTTTTTTAATTTTAGATTTTTTTTTTTTTTATGATACATCATACACAAATACATACAACCCTAAATTTTCACCCTTCTACCACCAACCCCTTTTTTTATGGCGGTACGAAGTTCGCTGGGACAGCTAGTAATTATTTATTATTTATCTGTAAAAATTGAACACTTAACTGTATTTGACGTGACATTGACTAAAAGTCAAAAACTATGTACAAAACGGTGCTTTAGTTTAAAATCTTGTATAATGCTACGGAACACTCCGTATGCTAGTTAGACTCGCACTTGACTTATAGAAAGAAACGTTGATAGAAAGTCATAACACGACCTAAGACATTTGCCTTAAAGGAAAACTATTTTATAGTTTTTTATCGACATGTTTATAATGACAGCATCTTAAGTTTATTTGATGGCGTGGGATCGATTACTTAGTCTCGTTACCGTAACCATAAGTAGCATTTTAAGCTTGTGGCTTGTCTGTGGTAAGCGCATTAAATTCTGAACTGGCTCAGTCTTAGAGTGGTATATGGCGTTTTAAATATGAGAGCAGTAAACCAGACCTGGGTACTGTGACCAGACGTTCAGATAACCAACATTCACTTGAAGATGTTTATTAACCTATTACGCTAAGCTTAAGAATCGTATTTAATAAAAAAATACGTGTTGCGCTCGGGGACTGCCGCCGTAAAGCTATTGCATAGCATTTTTTATCAACTTATGCAATTATAATTATTTTTTATTTTATTTATGCAGTTTTTTTTTCTTTGATATTAATTCAAGTTACTCTTTTTAAGCATGGTGACCGACAAGAAAACATTTTTTTTTCTTTTATTGAATAAATGTGAAGTTAATATTGTTCAAAATATTTTTATTATCTATACTAATATTATAAAGAGGAAAAGTTTGTATGTTTAGTACTAGACCGATTTTAAAAATTCTTTCACCATTTGAATGATACATTTATCACTGATTAATATAGGCTATAGCGTTCAAAAAGTTAGGGTTCCGTATAAAAACTTCGATAATCTAACCCAACGTGTGTAAAATATACCAAAAAATAGCCTTATATCGCGTACGCTGCGGAAGTCATTGATAATAGACCAAAGTGGTGTACTAAAGTTTTGTAGAGGATACTAATATCTACAAAAAGATACCGTGTGTCTAACTATTACAGTTATGTCACAACGAGAGGTCCCCTGCGGTTTCACCCGCGTTAATTTGAAGAAAAAGGGTTATAGTGAGTCAAACTTAAAATATGTACATAGGCTGTCGTGGACTTTGTTACAGAACTTTTAAAGGGGAAGAATTCCGTCATACATGATTTTTGTGTAACTTTAACCGTTTACCCAGCGCCAGCAACAAAATCTCACAAATGGAATATTTTTACCCGTTTTTGCAACATTTTTCATCGCCTGGTATTATATAGCCTATATAGCCTTCCTCGATAAATGCACTGTCCAATTCAAAAAGAATTTTTCAAATTGGAACAGCAGAACAATTTTGCATTCGGTACAACGGGCCCTAAACTACGCAACGAACTTTTTACTTGGAATGGAAGGTTTATAATTATTATGAAGAAAGTCATTGTATATTATACAAGCCTTTGAACAAAAACTATAGTATACACTACAGCTCTACACCGAAGCAAAGCGAGGGTGGGCCACTAGTCATATAATACATGTAGGTTATTCAGGATTTTTTATCATTGAAACTATAGGTTTATGGTAACTGAAACAAGAAGTAAGCAGCTAGTCTACACGCATACGTCTAGTCGCACGCAAACAAACACCGTACC